TTCTCAAAGATCGACCTAAGATCCGGGTATCATCAAATCCAAGTGGCCAAACCAGACATCCAGAAAACGGCCTTCCGGACACGTTACGGCCACTACGAGTTTACCGTAATGCCCTTCGGCCTCACTAACGCGCCCGCCATATTCATGGACCTCATGAATCGAGTATTCCGACCTCACCTGGATGACTTCGTCATTGTGTTCATTGACGACATCCTAGTCTACTCCCGAAATAAAGAAGAACATGAGAAACACCTTCGCATATCACTGCAAACCCTTAGAGAAAACCAACTTTACGCTAAATTCTCCAAGTGCGAATTCTGGCAAGACAGCGTAGCCTTCTTGGGCCACGTGATAACCAAAGAGGGGATCAGGGTGGACCCCGCTAAGATTCGCGCCGTTAGAGAATGGACCACGCCGAGCTCACTCTCGGAAGTCCGAAGCTTCCTGGGCCTGGCAGGTTACTACAGGAGGTTTGTACCCGACTTCACCAAGATAGCCCAACCCCTCACTAAGCTCATGAAAAAGGAAACCCCCTTCCGATGGGACAGCGACTGCATCTCAGCCTTCCAAGAATTAAAGGACAAGCTAACCACGGCACCCGTGCTAGCCATCCCCTCCGGAACGGAAGGATTCGAGGTCTACAGTGACGCATCCAAGAAAGGGTTGGGATGCGTGCTGATGCAAAAGGGAAAGGTAATAGCGTACGCATCCAGGCAACTCAAAACCCACGAAGAAAATTACCCCACCCATGACCTCGAACTAGCCGCTATCGTATTCGCACTAAAAATCTGGAGGCACTACCTGTATGGGGTACAATGCAAAATCTACACCGACCATAAAAGCTTAAAGTACATCTTCACCCAAAAGGACCTAAACATGAGACAACGAAGGTGGCTAGAACTCATAAAGGACTACGACCTAGACATCCAATACCACGAGGGAAAAGCCAACGTCGTTGCGGACGCCCTAAGCCGAAAGACGAACCATTCCCTCAACACCACGTGGGTCCTACCGGACCAACTGTACAGGGACTTCCAAAAACTACACTTAGAAATAATAGAGCAAGGACAAACCCGCCCCAATGCCTACCTACTCAACACACAAGCCATACCCGCCCTCTTCAAGGAAATCAAGGCAGGGCAACATCAGGACCCGGAACTAGATAAGATTCGCCACGACCTAACCCAAGGGAAGGAAGACCCCTTCGAAGCACGCCCGGACGGCAGTCTCCGTTACAAAGGAAGGTGGTGTGTACCCTCAACGCACCCTCACTTGAAACAACGGATCTTGGAGGAAGGGCACAACTCCCCGTACTCAGTTCACCCAGGAGGTGACAAGTTATACCAAGACGTAAGGAGGACGTTTTGGTGGCCAAACATGAAGAAGGAAATCGCAGATTTCGTGGCCAGGTGCCTGAATTGCCAAAAGTAAAGGCTGAACGATGCAAGCCCAAGGGGCTCGTACAACCCCTTGAAATACCACAAGGAAAATGGGATTCCATATCCATGGACTTCGTCGGAGGGTTACCCCCAACAAGAACCGGCAAGGACAAAATCTGGGTCATAGTGGATCGGCTGACCAAAACGGCACGATTCATTGCCATGAAGGAAACATGGACAATGACGCAACTAGCTCAAGCCTACATAAACCGGGTAGTGAAGTACCACGGAGTTCCCCGAAACATTGTGTCCGATAGAGATTCCAGGTTCCTCTCGCAATTCTGGAAATCGCTACAATCGGCGTTGGGGACGCAACTAAAACTAAGCACAGCCTTTCACCCCACCACATACGGCCAAACCGAGAGAACCATCCAAACCCTCGAGGACATGCTAAGGGCCTGCACGCTAGACTTCCGAGGGACATGGGAAGAGCACCTAGACCTCATCGAGTTCTCATACAACAACAGCTACCACGCGAGCATTCGCATGGCACCCTACGAAGCACTATATGGTCAGAAATGTAGAACCCCCTTATGTTGGGAAGATATGGTCAACCCGGTAACACTGGGCCCCCAATACCTCCAAGACACCATAGCTAAGGTCAAACACATCCAGGAAAGGATGAAGGCCGCCCAAGACCGCCAGAAGTCTTACGCCGACCTAAAGAGGAAACAAGCTGAATTCAACCTCGGGGACAAGGTCTGGCTAAGGATCTCGCCCACACGAGGAGTAATGAGGTTCGGAAGAAAAGGAAAACTCAGCCCCCGATTCATCGGCCCTTACGAAGTCATAGAGAAAATCGGGGACTTGGCCTACCGCCTCGCCTTACCCATCGAACTAGAAAGAGTACACAACGTGTTCCACGTATCTCAGCTAAAGAAATACATACACGACCCAAGCCACGTACTCCAACCCGAGGTCGTAGACCTCGACGAGTCACTAGTATACGAAGAGAAACCCGTAAGAATCCTGGACACCAAGACAAGAAACACCCGGAACCGAGTCATAGAAATGGTGAAAGTCCTCTGGACCAACCACGGGACCAAGGAAGCAACATGGGAACTTAAGGACACAATGAAGGAGCGGTATCCCGAGCTTTTCACACCAGATAACTAAAAGAAATCCTTTCACCAAGGGCCAAGCTTCGGGGACGAAGCTTCCTGTTAAGGGGGGGAGAGTGTAACACCCCGTGTTACGAGTCCTAAAACCAATTAGTTAATTAATCAATAGCCCAAGAGAAAGAATAAATTATAATGATTAATTAGGGAAAAAGGCCGACCATAGCCCGTGGGCCCTCATATATAAACCCAACCCCTAAACCCAATCCTTAGTTCCAAAAGGAATAGAATTAGCAAGCCTATAATATTAGTTCCTAATTAGGACTCCTAAATATATAAATAGGGGACTTAAGAGGCACCTAGAACCTCCCCACAAGATTAACGCCCCACCACCCCAAAAGAGCTCCAAGAATCCCCTTAGGAGAAATCAAGAAAGCAAGGAAGCTTAAAGAAAGATCCTTCATAGCCAAGGAATTAATTAAGGCTAAGAGGTAACCCATGTCTCAACAAAACCTATTCTCATAGCTATGATTCCCCCTTAGGGTTTCCCGCATATTATTGTGTATTGGCGAGATATGATGATGATTATTGATGTTTGACGTGATGATCCCATGAGGGATCTTGATAATCTTGATATTGGGAGATTCTTGATGATTATATGGAGTTCTTGATGATTATGTGTTGTTCTTGATAATTGTATGATGCTCTTGATGTTTATGTGTTATTCTTACCGAATCTTGCAATTAGAAGACGAACCGTATTCTTGTTGATATAAAAGTGATTAGAACCCTAGGAAATCGCATGTTTGGGGGTTGATTATATTTAGAAAAGCATGATAGGTTATGTGCCGTTCGTTTCTTGTATTTGATTCGTTAATTGTCTACGTGTTGTCGTTAATGGCGTTGAAAAGTGTCTAAGCATGGTTTCGGGTTCCACAACGGTTCCCGGGGCGTAAAGTGTGTGAAAAGAGTCAGTGGGGGTAGGGGACCGCCACCTACCCACGGCCGTGAAACACCGCCCGGCAGCGGGTAGCCGGCGGGCGGGCAGCTGCCCGCCGGCGACCCGCTGCCCGGAACAGTAATTCCGGCGGGCAGCCGGCGGGTGGCCACCACCCACCGGCTACCCGCTGGAAATTTCCCCAATTCGGGATCCCGGCTTCCCCGTTTGATGTTCCCCCGATCCCCGTGGTGTCCCAACGGACTCTGTTCATCGTGCCTATGTCTAGTTTGATATTTCGGGTGCCGTTCGTAGGTTTACGAGTCTATTATATTGCATGCTAGTTGAATTGGTATCCCGTTGACCTAGGTGGTAGAAGTATGAACCCCTTAGGACTATTCTTAGTATGTGATGGATCACGCATAGGTTTTGTTATACGTTTTCTCCCCCTTCCTAATGTGTAATGTGGGCTGCATGTGCTTGCTATGTGTTATGTGTGTGTGTTACCCCAATTCGGTTGCGATCCGATTGGTTATCCTGAGCTGCGGTTCAGAAGCTGGCTGCGGTCAGATTGATACTCTTGGGCTGCGGTCCACCGTTTGGTTGCGATCAAACGTTTCTATACGAGCTGCGGTTCGTCCTTTTTCCGGGCTGCGGTCAGATGACATTCTCTTGGGCTGCGGTCCACTGTTTGGTTGCGATCAAACACTATGATGAGCTGCGGTTCATCGGTCGGTTGCGATCGACCCCTCCGTGTTGCGATACGGGGCAGGGTGCTGCGGGGCCGTGTCAGAGCTATATGCGCTGACCCTCATGTATGGGCATGCGATTGGTCCTGTGGCGCCAACAAAGTGTGTTATGTGTTGTGACATGGACGAGTTGTGATTACGAGTGTCTTGGGGGATGTGACTATGGGATTTATATTGGGGATTGTTCATGTTGGGTTATGATCATTGTTTATGCCTTGCCTTATCTGCCTTATGTGTTGAGGACTGCATATGCTCGTTATAATTGTTGCTTGTGTCTGGCCTTATCTGTCGAGTCATTCCCGGTTTTCAAAGCTAGAGTTCGTAGGATATATCTTCATGCTCAAAATGGTTTTCGTATATCTATATATATCTCTATATGTATTGTATTTCAACGCGTTGGAGTGGGTTACCAGCATCTCTCGCTGAACAGATATATTTGGCTTTCAGGCACAAAAGATTAAGTCACTGGAGCGCGCTAGAACTTGGAGTATAGAAGTAGATAGTTTTCCCCCTTTTGGCCTGCGTGCCTCATTTACGTAATTACGCTTTAAGGATATTAGTTAGTTAGCCTGTGCACTTGGGTTCTCTAGCCCAGGTGTGGCATAGCACCCCGTACGCTTGTATTTATTTCTTGAGATTTAATGAGATTCCACCTTTGATATAAGTTTTAAAAAGTCTTGAAAATCTGGGGTGTTACAATGTATTTGAGATCCTAGTATTATCTAAATGGATTCTTTTTAAAAGCATTTAAAATCTCTTACTCATCTTAATAGTTCCCCCCCCCCCCCCCACTTGGCTCTGGTAAGATGTACGTGCACAGGAGGAATGTTTCTACTCTTTTTCATATTGTTACAGTATATTTAGCTGAGGTATCCTATCTAAGTCTACTTTCTTGTGGCCTTGGTTATCTGGAAGCTGTTTCTTACATTTCCTGAGTTTGCATTCATGTACTGCAAAATTCAAGGGGGAAAGAGTTAAAAATATCAATGACATGTTATTCAGATGCATAATATGCTGATGTGATTCTATCATCCGGTAAACCCCAGACCTCAACTTTCAATTCTTTCTTTGTCGCATGCAGTCTTGCATATCCATATTCAGATATTCTGACCAAGCTCCAGCTATCAGCCTGAGCATAGAAATTTCAATGTTAGTTCGAAGAGAGGAGAGAAAGTGGTAGCCAGGGAGTGTGCTTACAGTGATAGGGGAGGGGTCCAAGCGAAAGCCACCCATTTCGATAACAGCATGAACCGGTGCCTTATAATCCGTGTTATTGTAAGTGTCGATTTCTCTCCTATCTTTTACAGGCATTGCTTGGCGTAAACAGCACACGTCCTCTCATAGTTATGAACATGCCCCCACAAAGCTAGATCAACCTATATTTCATGCTTTCCTATTCAGTTATCCTATATTATCCGATGTCATTGTCTTGTCTATGTTTAGAATATGTGCTTACCTTGTTGTCTAACAATAGTGGCTCCACCTCAATTACAAAATTCTTGTCTACATTATTAATAAACAGCCCTGTATAAGAGGAATACATGGGACGATGCCTGCATTGATGAAAGCCATGAAAGGAGTGTCATACCACAAGTCTTTGTTACAAGTAGGGAGGTTGACATTAAAGAGCCTTAATTACCTTGTAAAAATTAACCAAGGTGTTCTTGCTCGATCTACTGCTGCCATGTCCCTCTACATCCATTCATACTGCATAAAAATATTGAGGTAATTCTTTTAGTATTTGATAGTCACATTAAACTCTGAGTTTCTGACTAATTCAAAGTTGAGTACATTATAAACCACTCTCTTTTCTTTATTAAAGCCTTTCGAGAAATATTGGAGCAGAAGGCCTCTGCACATCCTTTTGAAAATGTTCAATCTCTACTGTCCCCAAATTCATGGCTTGGCTCCTATCCCATTCCTGGTAAGTGCTTTCCATTAGCTATTATGATGCTAGCTTATAAATTTATTTTTCGTCCACATAATTGAAATGGGATGTTCAAGGTCATTGAGACACTGAAGTCTGAATGCTTTGCTTGAGTTTACCAGCCACTAATCATATCAATATTGGTTTTAACTGCTTGCTTCCTTCCCACTTTAAAACATTTTGATCCGTAAAGTTTTATCTGATTAAGATATTAGGTGCTCTTTGTATCCTCCCAGAAACTCTGGTTTTGCTCTATTTGTGGTCCATAATCAATGTTGAATTGTCTATGCCTGTGGCACTTGCTTCTCCAATCCTTCTGATTAATTGTGTTTGATTGACTAATTTTTTCGGTTGCATATGGAAGAAGTGCGCACACTATATTTATCAGTGTGGTATTAACTTGTATTTCTTACTTCAGATCACACACGTGATGCAGCTAAGGCAGAAAATGCTTTGACACTCTCCTCTGGAAGTGAGCTGATTGGGATGCAAAGAGATTGGAATGAAGAGTTGCAATCCTCTCGGGAATTTCCGCATGGGTCACCACAGGAAAGGTGCATTGCTACCTCTTTAGCTGCCATTGTAGTTCATCTCTCTGTGAATGTGAATGTACTCTATTAAGCTTTATTGCTATTGTATGGACACCATTTAGGAGTTCCATTCACAAGGCTCGAACTCTAAACCTTGCTTAAAGGGAATCAAGTTTCTTTTACTCAGATCATAGGTCATTGGTATCATATAGTATGTAAGATGAACAAAGTGATGAGGTTTATACATTTTAATTGTTAACATTTAAGTAGTTTATTTTAATTGTTAACATTTAAGTAGTTTATTTTTGTAACACCCCCCAAAACATGCTATATAAAAAGACCTTAACACATGCAGATATCACAACAAAACACTAGCACAACGGAAGATAAAAGGTAACTGGACAAACGAAAATCCAAAACATGGGGTGTCACACCACGTTTACCAACAACGATAAACACTACGGCAAAGTCTGCACGGTATACAACTATCCCAAAACTTACAAGTCTATCACTACATCGGCACACAGGCCATAAAGCAAGGGAAAGGTACTATACTATCGGGCACTAGACTCCGCTCTCGTCTAGACATCACCTAAAAGAACACAAATAAACATGGGACGACACCCGGTCAGCGAATAATGCTGGTAACCCACCAATACATGTGAAGTAACATACATAGGTAAGATATAGGTTGTAAAGCCATTTTCGAAATGGAATACATAAGTATATAAGTCAAAAACCAAGATCAATAGCCAACATAAGACTCAACACTCTCAACAAACAACACGGGAACACATCCCGAGACTACGAGAACAACACAACTCACAAAAGAGTCAAGGCATGATCTATCATCACTCAATAGATCAAAACCCGACAAGTACAACGCAAAAGAATAAAACTTACACAACCGGCAACACATGCCTTTGTGAGTACACACGTCACAAGAGAAGATGTAACACCCTGAAATTTTTCAACTTTTAAAACTTATATAATAAAGGTAAGTTCTCATTAAATCCCAAAACATAACATAATAGAGTACGGGGTGCTATGCCACACCTGAACTAGAGAACTCAGGTGCGCAGGCTAACTAACTAATATCCTCAATAATGTAAGTACATAGCATGGCGCGCAGGCCAAAAAGGGAAACTATCTACTCTACGCTCCAAATTTCTAGCGCGCTCCGGTGTCTACTCCTCTGTGCCTGAAAGCAAAATATATCTGTTCAGCGAGAGATGCTGGTAACCCACTCCAACGCGTTGAAATATAGTATAGATAGATATATATATATATAGATATACAAAAATCATTTCGAAGCAGGAAGATATATACTTAAGAGACACTAGTTTTAAAACCAGGAATAGACTTAGCAAATAGGGATTAGCACATCAGACAATAATAATAACATCATAAGGAATACACATTTACGGTCACAAGCCACTTCTCAATTCCAATCCACATTACCATCGAATCATCATTCATATCACATAATCATCGATGGCGCCACGGGACCAATCGCATGCCCCGAACATGAGGGTTAATGCCTATAGCATTAACACGGCCCCGCAGCACCCTACCTCAGTACCGCAGTACGAGGGGAGTTGATCGCAACCAAACCTTGGAGAACCGCTGACGAACTCAACGTCGGACCACGATCCGACACACCGCTGACGCGCCCAGTCGGTGGACCGCGATCCCCTTTACAAGGCGAGAGGGCGGGCCGTAGCGGATCGAGCCCGACACACCGCTGAGCTAAACTCAGTCGGTGGGCAAAGATCCTTGGAGACTACGGTCCTACATACCGATGTCCCACCACTCGGTGGGTCGCAGCCAGTCGTAGCCCTACACACCGCCTGATTACTCAGGTCGGTGGACTACAACCTTCCTCGGCTTGTTGGCCCCATACCGCCTGGCGCATCCCGGTCGGTGGGTCATATCACCGAGGCCCATGTGGACCTTCAGTCCTATACATAATCTTTATATACCTGACCGGTCTCTACCAGCCTGATTAACAGTTGGGATGGTTCTCAACCCATTCAACTGCCCGTATAGTGGACCTCAGTCTTATATCACATCAATATCCCTGACCGATCTTAACCGGCCTGGTTAACAGTTGGGATGGTTCTCAACCCATTCAACTGCCTGTATAGCCCAATTGGTCTTAACCAAGTTGGGGTCATGCATCACGTAACACACAATAGCACATAATGACACATTATTCACATAGGGAAGGGGGAACATATAATTAAGCTTACATGTGATCTTTCACACACTAAGAATAGTTCCTAAGGGCTCATATAACTTCCACCTAGGTCCACGGGTTACCAATTCAACTAACATGCAATTCCTAAGACTCGTTTAACCTACGAATAGTACCCGAAATTCCAAACTAGACTCAGGCACGACAAACGGGGTCCGTTGGGACACCATTGGGGACGGGGAACATCAAACGGGGAAGCCGGGGACCCGGGGTGGGGTGTGGACCAGTGGGTAGCCGGTGGGTGGGGGTCACCCGCCGGCTGCCCGCCGGTGGACGCTGTTCCGGGTAGCGGGTAGCCGGCGGGTGGCTGCCCGCTGCCGGGCAGCGCCCTTCTGGGCAGCGGGTAGGTGGTGGGTTACCCCACCCCCACCTACCCCCCACTGACTCTTTTCTCAAATATTCATCCCGGGGACCTTTGTGGAACCCGAAACCATGCTTAGACACTTTTAAACGCAAATAACGACACCACGTAAGCAAATAACGGATCAAAAGCAAGAATCATGTAGGACTTATCCTATTATGACTCCTAAATGTAAACAACACCCAAACATGCGAATTCCCTCCCAAATACAAATCGAGAACATCATAATACAAATTCCCAATCCAACCTAGGGCTCTAATCCCACCCGAATCATCAAGAACATATTTAATCTTTAACATCAAGAAAATATCAAGATTCGTCAAGAATCATCAGATCATAATCAAGAACTTCTTCTCAATATTAAGATTATCAAGATTATAAAGAAAGCATATAAATCATCTTATCAATCATCAAGAACATAACATAATTATCATAGAAGAATTCAATCAAGACACAAGAACATAGAGGGAGGCCAAGGAAGGAGATTATAGCGAAGAAAATAGGTTTTGTTGAGACATGGGTAACCTCTTAGCCTTAATTAATTTCCTTGGGTATGAAGGGTCTTTCTTTAAGATTCCACCTTTCTTGATTTCTCCTAAGGGAGTTCTTGGAACTTTCTTGTGTGGTGAGGGATTATTTGTGGTGTGAGTTCTAGGTGCCTTCTATGTCCCTATTTTTATAATTAAGAGTCCTAATTATGGTCTAAATGGCATGGGTTCACTAATCCTATTCCTTATAGGTCTAAGGGGTTGGCTTTAGGGATAAGGGCCCATGGACCATGGTGGACCCCCCTTTTTGGTTAATTAATGGGTTTTAATTCACTTTTTAGGGTGGGTGATAATTTAATTCATTTTAATTTAGGGGCCGTAACACGGGGTGTTACAGAAGAACTCACAACACCGGCTACAATAGCCCTCGTGACATCACCCATCACGAGTTGATATGCCTGCCTTATGCCCGGTTCCAACCTTATGGCTACCCCCAACCTTGTTTTTTCTTTCCAACCATTACCTCCAGGACCCCTGTACTTCTTAGTCCAACCTTTTCCTTCCGGGACCATCGTCCCCCACCAACGACCACCAACGAGACCACCAATTCATAGTACACAAGGTACCGTACACACACACGGCGACACACGCCTTCCCAAGAAAATACGTGAACCTGACACACAGGTCACAACTCCATAATCACATCACGACCACCACGAGGACCGCTGCAATACGTTGGTGACTAGTGTCCCATACCACTAATCGTGCAATCCAGCTAAAGCCACACACACATCACACTTCAACAGGAATCAATCAACGGATTACAACGAAGGTATGAAACATACTCAATCAAGGAATGGGTCACAGCCCAACAACAACAACGATGGATTACACAAGTTATCATCAACCCATCGGAAGGTACAAACAACACACAAGCTAGCATTTAGACACCAAACTAGCATGCTTATCAATCGGATAAACCAAAGGTAGTTCCAAGGAACACACAAGACACACCACGGTTCAACGAAACACAATGTTGAACACTTAGCACGATTCAAGACACCAAAAACCTACATGGATACCTACCACATAGTTCTAGACATACGAAACATCAAGACGACACTCAAATAGTTCCACAAAAGAACATCGGGAAGTCAAAAGACCAC